TGTTTATAGTTTGTTTTGACCTTAATAATGGCCACTATTCTACCAGTTGCTCCACATTTTTTAACAATTAATTCCCTTCTCCAAAGTAGAGCTACACCCCCCTGTCCACGTCTCCACCCAACATTTTTATTATTCAATGGGCTACTTGTTGCATAGACATAAAACCTTGTGACCAGAGAGCTCAGAAATTGTAAGTTATCATCATAAAGCCAATGTTCGCTCAATGCTAGAATATCAGATCTTTGTAAAAGGTTTTTAACATACGTGAAACTACCAAAAATACCGCTGCAGTTCCAACACGTCAATCGAAGATTATTATTAACTATGTCCGACATTGTTGAAGACTATATGTACCAATATACAAAGGATGTCATAACTCGTGTAACAAAGCTGTTCAGTAAGCCTGACTATGAAACCGAAACTGTCATGATTGTAAAACCTATGATCTGACATTAAAACAACCGATTCCAGTCTAGTCATCATCAGTCTTATTTTTTTTTTAACCATTTCTGTTTTGAAATCCATTCCCTCGCATATACATGCTTGGGCCAGAAGTCATTATCTGACACCGTCTGAAAGTCCGATAATTTGACATTTACCCGAACGGCTGCAGTACCCTTTCCTTTGCTTTTAAAAAGCCTAACAAAGGTTGGGGAAATCCCCTTCTTCTCCATATGATTAACAATTAATTGCTGGTTAACACCCTCGTGCACGCCGCCTAAATACAGTCGCTTTGTTCTATGCTTTCCAACGTCGATAAAATTACTTTCGCTGCCGTTTGTACTAGCTTGATTTTTAGCGGTTTCACTTATATTTGAGTTTTCATTCTCGTCTGCACAGTGAGGTTCCGCCTGGGATTTCTGCAGTTGATTACTCGATTTCTGCGATCTCCAATATTTAATTTAATTTCATTTCATTTATTTTCAGTTCAGTTCAGTTCAGTTCAGTTCAGTTCAGTTCCTCTCATCAACTTTCGTAAATGTGTAATCTGTAAAAATTAGTATTAAAACTCTAAAAAAATAAATTAAAAACCCATTTATACACTGTTAAGACAAAAAGATGGTTCTAGCCAGGTAAAGAGTTAAATCAGATTAACAAACATGTAAATGTTACACATGCATGTTAGTAGGAATAGTTTTGGTGGGACTTAATTGGATCTTATTTAAGATCTGTTGTCCTTTTCGTTCAATCATTTGTTAATATATGTTATTGATTGTAAAGTTAATTAAAAAAAAACAAACTTCGGAATGGCTAATTCTTCAATTTATAAGATAAATCAATAAATGCGGCAATTTAAAGCATATTTACTGTGTGTATGTCTAATTCATTTTCAACAGAAATTCTGCAAAGCAGTAGCTGCTGTCCTGCATTTCTTTGTGCTGTCAGCGTTCGGATGGATGTTGTGTGAGGGAATATTACTGTACATCTTACTCATCAAAATATTTGATGGTGCTCGTGGGAAACACTGGAAGATCTTTAATTTCATTGGCTGGGGTAAGTGTTTTCAATTTCCAAAGGTAGACAAAATAGTACAACCCCACAAACCTAAACCCATTTCCCGTGAATCATCGCAGTTACATCGCAGAAAAATTATTGTTTTTTTATGAATATGATACTTTTATCATTTATAGACCTGGAGCGAGGGGGATTCGCCGAAATATTATCCGAAGTGATGATATTTCACGAGGGGCTTCGCCTCGAGGAAAATATCATCAAATGATGATCACTGAGGGTAACATCTATACAATAGTATATCCCAAAGCTGAGGGTCTATAAATGATATATTATACCGAAAATTAAAAGCCTCCAAGTTGAGAATTAAAAACTTCACACATACCTTCTTGAATACGATGTTTTATTTTCGGATTAACGCACGTATTCGTCGCTTTTCTTTCGAATCACATATCGTTTGGAATATTAATGACAACATTTTTCAAATTTTGCTTCAAAATTTTGAAAAATCCCCAGGTTTTACGTTTAGAATTTGATTAATTATTCATCACTCATCAATACTATTTATATTTTGTCGTCCATGTTGTTGTCATGCGTGTTGTCTCGCGCGGTCTACGCGAATAATGTTCCACCCCATGTTCCCCGGGGAACATGGGGTGGAACATTGTCAAAAGGAACGCAGGGTCGCTAATTGATGACGTAAGGCGTGATATCGCAATTAATTTCATGCTCACGTGGCACAAACTAAGCTTCCTGATTGGACAATTTGAATTTGAGGTATAATATTTCCCAAAATCCTGATATTCATTCATACACTTACGTTGGTATCACTTGGTATACATACATGAACTTGTGGTTAGAGCTCAACAAATGGGCTCTCTAGCTCAACTGGTGAGAGGGCTGCACCGGAATCGCAGGGCCGCAGGTCCGATTTCTGCCAGACGGCCAATATGTAGTTGAATTTTTCGCAACTGCTCCTGGTGAGGTTTATGATAATATTTATTATGATTAATTTTACACTCGAAATTTGCATCTATAAAACTCTTCAGCATGTCATTTATTCTGGTTACTGTATTTAATATAACTTACTCACTGGTAGTCCAAGACATTTCGTCTGTAAAAATAACGTCTTCGAACGTATCCTTTCTCGCTAAGGCGTCAATGCAAAATGCTAGCCTTTTAACCTTGTTCGGCTTACGAACAAACTGGCAATACCTATAGTATTTTCGTGTTTCCATCCTAGTTTTTCACGTCTAACACGACGTATTGTTGAGGATGATATATCAAGGCCACATTCCTTCGATATTAATTTTCTTAATTCCGCTGATGTTAACTCATGTTTTCGTCTATAAATGTAAGATGCTCCTCACACAGTTTAAATTTCCGTCCAGATCGTGGGGCATCAAAAAGATTACCACCCTTACTGTAGCGTTTGAGAAATTTACTCAGATGTCCGTGAAACATTGATGAATTCCTCGGATAAAATTTTTGTTATGCGAGTCGTGGTTTTTTCCGATGAGAGGGACATGATACGTCTTCGGGAATATAATTATTGCTTTTCCATTGTATTGCTTCCCAACCTTCGCAAAATGTTTTTTAAAAATGCTGCCTTGTTTCGCCGTTAGTATCGCAAAAATATTGTTCATTCTGATTTCTAGAATACAATATTTACACTCGGCAAAGTCGTGTTGCCTTCGGGGTGCGCCGTGAATTGCAGTCAAGCCTCACATCACCCACACAACCGTGGTTGAACCACGGTGTAACCGCGGCAATCCGAGGTTTAACCGCGGGCGAACCGCAGTTGACCCGAGGTCAAACCGAGGTCGGCGCGAGTCGAACCGCCATCAGAGGCGTAGCCAGGATTTTCGGTCAGAGGGGGCCGGCAAAAATCCAGGTGGGGCCAAGCCGCCAGTGACTCGAGACGCAAAGTTCGTGCAAGAAAAAATTTTGCGGACCACAGAACATTTTAAATCTCTCCCTCCCCTCTCCTCCCCTCCCCCGTCGACAACTTTTTCAGTAAAAAGTTTTTCTGGACAATAACATTACAATTGCTTTCGTAGCACTTTTCCCGATTTGCGTAATACTTTTTCCGATGCTTCACCACGAAGATTCCGACAACATTAGAGAGTTTGAGCAAGAGAACGAAATCGGACGACGCGGTGGACCGTGGTTGACAATTTTTGCCTGTCTTGCACATTATCTTACGCATTCTGAGTTTAGGGTCAGGCGTGAAGACAGATTAGAGATTTATGTCTAGCTGTTTATGAATGCTGACCCAAATCGTTACCCTGATCAGGACAAAACAGTGAGACATCAATCCATATCTCGTCTTCGTTCTTCTGCCTTCGTTCACAACGAAAAATTCGCAAATATTTTGGCAAAATTCGTTGTAAACTTCGTTCCGAACGAAGGAAGAAGGACAAAGACGGGATATAGTTTCATGTCTAGCTGTTATTTTCTGGGTCAGGGTAAGAATTAGGGTCAGTATGCATACACAGCGACACATGGGAAGACACGCTGAACAACCACCAGTGACGTCCAACTCAGCATGCGCAAGATAATGTGCAGACGGCAAACATTGGCAAGCTCAAGCTCTCTATTGACAATTTTCCGACGGGTCTTAATTTTCCGACGGGTCTCCCACCCCGCTCCCCTCCGGCCAAGGCGCCACTGCCGAGCCCGCATTAAAAATTCATTTGTAAAAAAAACAGATTGGTTTAAACTTCATCAAACCCTCATTTAATACATATTGAAATAATTAGGGTTAGGAAAGGTATGTGTTTCAAGCTGTGTGCCGCAAATAAGAGAACAAGTGATTTTAGGTTTCACACCGATGTGCTGGAGCAAAGCATTTTTGCATTATTGACAGCATGAAGCAATATAATCACGGATTCCCTTTTTTATACAATACATTTTATCAGGGCCCCCCCAAATTTTGCCAGGGATTTTGGGGGGGCCGCCCCCAGCCCTGGCTACGCCTCTGACCGCCATCGACCCGCGGTTAACCGCGGTTTTTGTCAACTTATTTCTAGACAGTTCTGTATAGAGCTGAACAAGTCTAAAACTGTGTAAATATAGATAATTATAGTAATAATACACCCCGAGTTCATAAGTGCAAGTAAATTAAGACCACGACAACGTGTTTATTAATGACTGTTTGCCGATTAATATCGTTACAGGTATTCCTTTATTGATCGTTATTATATCACTTGGAGCGACTCAGGGTGAAGGATATGGAACAGAATCTTCATGTTGGCTTAGCCTTGAAAATAAAGTGATTTGGGCGTTTGCGGGACCTGCCTTCATTGTCATATTGGTGGGTTCTCTCATCTCAATCTTTAGGACAACTATTTTGTGCGTGTATCTTTATCCCTGTAAAGAATTGTCGTTTAGCAATAACGTACCTATTAATGATATACTAGAAATACATTCATGCAGAAACTCCTCGTCTTGATGGCAAAACTATAATTATATTTTCCGAACATGAAGTATTTGAAGTAGTTGTCATGGTAACACGATAATTTTATTAAGAATATTTTTAAATTTGAAGATCCCCTAAAAATATCACTAGTATTTTAATTACGATTTCAATATATGTATTAAGTATGTCATTATACGTTATTATATTATACGTATTATAAGCTTCAATTTAATTAAACGCTTCGCAATTTTCTTATATATGACTTATAAAGAGAGCTTGTCTGTAAAAATCGCAGTAATTCGCCATTCTCTGGCAGATATGAAAAACTGAAAGTTCTTCAATTTCCCTTGATTTTACATATATTGTAGACCTATCCAATCCCACACATTTACTGAAGTTTCAGCCATAAAACACAAAATGAAGGAAAGTTAGAGTACTTCAAAAATCGAACCAAAAATGACGCGAAATGTCCAAGAAATTTCGCTATACTGTATAGAGCAGTCAACATCATGTGCTGTGCTGAGCGCGCATTATAAGTTTTGGTCTGCTGTTACAATATATATGTTTTTAGAATATATGGAACTTTCTCGTAATATCTTTTCTCCATAAATCGAAATGTTATTGACTTGGTTATTTTAAATCAAAGATGGTTGAAATTTCCGTGTTCTCCAAACTAGCCAAAGTACGTCTTGTGAATCGCCTATTTAAATATGGTCCTATACTTTCTTTATAAATGTATATATGCATAATTTCTTAGGGTAGGATGTAGTCATTCAACGACGATTTCAGATGTTTGGGATTCTTTTGTGTCTTGGAAAAATTTGCCGTTAAACATGTACAATATTAGCGTAAAGGCTGCATTCCAGTTACGCGTTTTTCATACGTGCGTACACGCACGTAGAAGTTGAATTCGCTTAAAATTTCATATAAGTGCAAATAACCTTAACAAATACACATTAAATCATACACAAAACTGAATTCTGTCCTTTTATAAATTTAGTTATTTCATAAGTAGGATGTAAAGCGAATTCAACTTTTATGAAAAACGCGTAACTGGAATGCAGCCTTAATTGAGTGCTTGGATTTTTATTAACCAGCGCGTTACGATTCCAATATCTTACGCTTTTCCTATTCAAAAGGTTAACATGCTTCACTGTAGATGCCACTGAGAACACACAGTTTACTTTCAATGATTTTCTCTGCATTCAAGTTACTTTGTCTACAGTATATGTGTATATATACACTGCGTGCACGCACGTACGTACGGACGCACGACCAAGCACATTTTACTACGCATTTCACTGATATGTGCATTCCGCCTTTTTTTCTCGCTTCCCAACGGCGTTCGACGGTCGACGTTCGACGCAGGCCTGGTTACAAAATTTGGCGCCTTTTCAGGTTTTCATCAATACTTCTGTCATTCAAGACAAGACATTGACTATTTATATTGATTTACATTAACTTCGGAAAATTCATACTTGAAAAGGCGCCAAATTCTGTAACCAGGCCTGCGTCGAACGTCGACCGTCGAACGCCGTTCGGAAGCGAGAAAAAAAAGCGGAATGCACATATCAGTGAAATGCGTAGTAACTTTTTTCGAACGGAAAAAAAATAGTCGCAGCCCCAAGGTGACACGGCTCGTTTAAATTGCGGTGCCCGTTCAAGTTTGGAACCGGCTTTATATTCTGCTGTGAGTTTGTACTTTTGTGCGGAATCACAAGCATATTTACTTCTTGTAATCTCTAAGGGTGGTAATTATTTTTGTCGCTGCTGACGCTGCATATTTAATTGTTTACATTTTCTATCGATACATTCATGTACGACTTGCATTTTATAACACATACTTTCAAATAATTTTTCTTACGTATCGATTCCGACTAGTTCGACAACATAACAAATTTCCAATGTTCGGACGGGTCTCAACAATAGCGGGGTGGAAGTTACATTACATTTGGTGATTTGGAAAATACTTAGACTCTTAGTTAAATATTTCCGTGTAATTTAAATTAAAACTTCGAGATGAAGCTATTAAGGAAATAAGAAAAATACAATGGACTTACCTTTATGCTTGAAGAACTGTAACAAACCAATGTAACATAATCAGACAGTTTCAATTGCAATATTAAACTACAGTGGACAATTATAGCCTTGCTGTGTGCGTTTATTCACAACTTTGTTGAGAAAGTTACTTCCGGGTTTATAAGAGCGTAGGTTATACAAATCAATTATTATTTTATCATGTAAATAATCTTTGAACTGGTTTTTCTTTATGTACTAGATCACGACATAATTTGTCGCAGGCACTCTAGAAACGATAACGCTTACTATCCTGCATTCTAACCTTTTTCAGTTCAGTTTCCATTCAACGACAACGTTTTTATATTTGTATTTATATACAGTACAGGGTGTCCCCCAAAAAAGTACTTACCCTCTATAGAAATTATCCTATTGTTATAATTTGAACCGCTGATGCCTGAGCACTATGCTGAGCCCAAAAGTGCGTAAACACAATTGAATTGAATGAAGCGTGTGTTCTTATAGTGACGACTACCGTAAACACAGAATCGTTTTGAAATAAAATGTAAGAAATAATATTCACAGTGTCACGCTCCAGTTAATATGAACCACTCAATGGGCACTTCCGAGCTATAGACTAAATTTTGATCTAGGCAAGTACAACAAAATCCATCTAGAAAGAGCATGTTAAAATTAGTAAAATTGCAAAGTTTGGCCGGAAAATTTTGTAAAATTAGGAAAATAATAGCTCTATGAAAATTTTGTATTAATTTGTATTAATATACGCACGGAAAAATGCACCACATTTGGGCCGAAAGTGGTGCAAATCCCCGTGCGTGCTAACAAATTAATACAAAATTTGCAAATTTCGCAGGGCTATATATTCCTCAATTTACGATATTTCGCAACCAAACGTTGCATTTTACTAATTTTAACATGGATTGCTCTTTCTAGCTGTGCTGATGGATTTTGTTCTTCTTGCCTAGATCAAAATTTAGTCAATAGCCGGAATTGCCCATTACGCTAGTATTGTACATGTTTAACTGCAAATTTTGCCAAGACACAAAAGAATCCCAAACATGTGAAATCGTCGTCGAATGACTACATCCTAGCCCTAACAAATTATGCATATGTAGCTACATTTATAAAGGAAGTAGGACCATATTTAAAGGTGATCTACAGTCCGATCTGCGCATGTGCACAAGTGAGCACACTTTATGATACAAACAGTTTAACTCTGTTTTGAGTTCTTGAAACGCCTGATTGTTGTTTCTTGATCATTTATTATACTCTAGAAGCTTGAAAATATAAATAGTTGTCGAATAAAGCTCAATATTTTGGACACAAAAATGTAAACAAGGGCTTTGTTTACACACGGACTGTAGATCATCTTTAAATAGGCGATTCACAAGACGTACTTTGGTTAGTTTGGAAAACCCGGAAATTTCAACCATCTTTGATCTAAAGTAACCAAGTCAATAAATTTCGATTTATGCAGGAAAAATATCACGAGAAAGTTCCATATATTCTAAAAACATATATTGTAACAGCAGACCAAAACTTATAATGCGCGCTCAGCACATGCAGCTAGCGCATGATGTTTACCGCTTTATATAGCAAAATTTCTTGGACATTTCGCATCATTTTTGGTTCGATTTTTGAAGTACTCTAACTTTTCTTTATTTTTTTTCATGGCTGAAACTTCAGTAACTGTGTGGGATTGGACAGGTCTACAATATATATAAAATCGAGGGAAATTGAAGAACTTTCAGTTTCTCATATCTGCCAGACATTTTGTGATTCTTACAGGCAAGCTCTCTTAAAACTAATAAAACTACCTTTTATCGATAAACCATCAGTTTGAAAAAAAAAAGATTTCAAATTCTCGCACGAAAATAAGTTTGCTTTTCTCTTTAATAATTAAATATTTTAGTGCATTAAAAAAGGTAAATAATGAAAATACAGTAAAATGCTATCTTTTTTCATTATGCCCATGCAACGATAAAAGGAAACAATACATCAATATTTAAAACAAATTTACCTTTTCTCAAACGAACTCGTGTGAAAAACTTAGCAAATTTGCAAAATATTTTAATTAAAAGCAGATATATTAATTTTCAAATAGTATCTGTTATTATAATGTCGCAATGCAGTCATAAAAGAGCGAAATTTAAATTTGACCATTCAGTGTTCTCCATTTCCTTGACAGTTCGCCAGTTTTTCGAGATCAGTGAGAGGTCCACCCTTGGTCACGGATCGCGATGATTGATGCATGAACTTCACACTTCGCTCGGGGGATATGTGTAATTTTTTTCCCCAATTTGTGAACATATTCCAATTCACCTTTTGGCGCGAGAACATGTCAATAGACCATCAATTGTTATTAATGTTATAAAATATATCACAACAGATTTCCGTTGTCCGTCTTTGTTTTCCAGGCCAACACAATCGTGTTTGTCATGGTGCTACGTACAATGATGAACTCTCACAAAATCAAACAACGGGACAACATTGGTAAAGTCAGAGCTGGTGTAAGAGCCGCTGTAGTAATCTTCCCAATCCTTGGCTTGACATGGCTGTTTGGCTTGATGACTTTCAACAAAGAAACGTTGTTCTTCCGCTATCTATTTGCCGTGTTCAATTCCGCGCAAGGAATGCTCATTTTCTTGTTTCATTGTGTCTTTAATAATCAGGTAAGTACCGCGAGGAAATCTGAAGTTGACTGTCCATTGTAAAAAATATTTTACAATAAGCAGGCATGGTTTATGCCTGCATTGCTTGAAAATTATTGTACTGGGATTGCCAGTAAATGAGGCGAAAAACAGGTTTCAACTCACTTTAATTATCAAAATATATGGAAAATTACAAAATAGTAAATTTAGGTAAAACACTGTTTTCCTTCGCATGCCATCTTAGCTCTCCTGCGCATGCTCTAACAAAACGTAAATAAACATCGTCCAAAAGGCGATCGCAGAGATTATTGTCTACAACCCAATACACCGGAAGGACTGGGGTCGATGCGATCGCGTCTTAAAATCTGAATGTAAGTTTCTCTAATGCATTGTTCACTCAATACTATATAATGTCACTGTCCGTTCATACACTCTCTTTTGCTTCCGACTTCGTTTCCTGGTCTTGATCCATATCCACTGGTACTAATAACGATAATCGCTGAGCACTTCGTGACATGCCTGTAGAAAGTAGGAAGTTATGGAGCGACGCTACCTCCAAGCTCTAACGGGCTAACTCCAAAAATCATTTGGAGCTAAGTATACAACTGCAAAAATAATTTAGGAGCTAGGCATCTAAGCCTGGAGTTACTGGCTAACTCCAATAATCATTTGGAGCTACGTTTAACTCCAAAAATCATGAAAAAACAAGGTATCTAAGCCTTGAGTTACTGCCTAACTCCAAAAAGTATGTGTATAGCAAGGCGAGTCAGCCTATAGCCGCTAGGTACATACATGTAAGGTTGAAGTTACTTGCTGTGTTGCTAACTCCAAAAATAATTTGGAGCTTGTTATCTAAACCAGGAGTTACTGACTCACTGGAATAACTGGAATAACTGCAAGAACTCTCAGAATGCACTTCTATATTCCGCTGTATTAAATAAGACTGAAATACCCAGAATATGCGCATAAACATGACATTGACACACTTGGCATTTTCTTCTCGTTCAGAGGCTAAATTTTGATCTCAAGGTATTACGGTCGGCGATTATTACAATATCTCCTGGGCGCAGATTACGGTTGGCTGTATTCCACTTGCGACGAATAACCAAGGCTGGGGCGTATAACTCCGTCCATTTCTTCCAGAACTCGTCTGTCACGATCTGGACAACGTGATAACGCTTTCCTGGATTATTACCGTTAGGCTGCCATCCAACAGGATTCTTCGCCGTTGCTCTGCCCAGCAACAAGCTGTTGGGAGTAAGGATGTTTAATTCGGAATCAGCGCTCGGGTGGGTTCCGATAGGTCTTTCATTGAGAAGGTTCGTGGCTTCGCTACACACCGTCATGAACTCTTGGACTGATAGACGTTCGTTATTGATTGATTGAGAAATGAATAGCTCTCTTGGCACTCTTCACCAGGGATTCCACAGCTCCTTGGTACCAAGGACTATCAGCGGGGCCGAAGATCCAGGTCAGTCCATTCTCTGTGCCACTTTTATGTAGGGATTGTCGGTCAATGCTCTTCCAGGTTTCCGTGAGTTCCCTTTCCGCACCAATTAGTTGTGATCTGGGATCACTATATATGATTTAGGGCCAACCACGAACACTGACGAATCAGCTGAGAGTCATTAGGAATGATTCGGTATCGTACCCGAACACAGCTTCAATGTGGACTGCTCTCATAACTAGATCTGTGAAGATTACTCCGTACGCTTTACTACTTGTTCTTTTCTGTACTTCTCCACGAACCGAGTAGGGTCCGAAAAGGTCTATCATAACGTGGTTGAAAGCTGGAGATGGTTTCAATCTTGCTTTCGGTAGTTGTCCCATTTGCTGCTCGAGGAACTTTGCTTCTCGTAGCTTGCACATCTGACATTTACTCTTGATTGATTGAGCGAGTTTGCTTCCTTGGGTTACCCAGTAGAGTTGACGGAATCGTGCCTAAGGTTGCATCACGCCCTCTATGACCAGAAGTGTGAGCTCGTTGCATAAAGAGTCTGGTAACATGACGTCGGTAGGGCAATAGCTTTTGCAGCGAAGAATCCACTGTCATGGGATTTTTGTTCTTCAGGCGCTGTCCCACTACCTAGAGTCCACTTTCATCTTGGACTGGATTCAAACAAGCGAAACGACCACCTTTTCTGCCTTTGCGGTCAGTTTTTGTCAGTTCCCTATGGCGTCAGTTCGTGGACAAAATGTTCATTTCGTCATGTCAACCGTCGTTTTGTCGTTCATTTGGACGTGTCAGCTTGTCGTTTCTCCACTTCGTCGCGGCGTCTAACTAATTCGTCGTTACATGTCTCACTTCGATGTCTCATTTCGTCGAGGCGTCTACCTAATTCGTCGTTGCATGTCTCATTTCGATGTCTCACTTCGTCGAGGCGTCGTTACATGTCTCACTTCGATGTCTCATTTCGTCGAGGCGTCTACCTAGTTCGTCCTTGCATATCTCATTTCGATGTCTCACTTCGTCGAGGCGTCGTTACTTGTCTCACTTCGATGTCTCATTTCGTCGAGGCGTCTACCTAGTTCGTCCTTGCATGTCTCATTTCGATGTCTCACTTCGTCGAGGCGTATATTTTCGATCTCTTCGTCGCAGCGTGTACCCGGTTTTCGGTGAGTGCATCTCTTCGTCGCGTCACTTCGTCGCGGCGTTTCGTCGCGTCACTTCGTCGCGGCGTTTCGTCTCTTCGTTTCGTCGCGGCGTTTCGTTTCTTCGTCGCGGCGTGACCTTTTCCCGCCAAAAATGGACACTTGACCAAACCATGTCAACTGCTGAAGCACTATGAAATTGGTCTTGGCCATTTATCTCAAAGCACGAAATGTTCTGTTTTGAGAAAACAGTATTTAAAACATTTGAACTTTTGCTTGAATATCTTATATTTCGAAAAACAGTATAAACTGTACGGTCTAAATTTAGTTTGCACGGTCTAAATTTAGTTTGCATGAAAGTCGTAAACAACACCATATAAGGATAGACATTCCATATTTGGAAAAACGAACGTTTCTCAATTCAGCTTGAGAGCCTGTTCGCAGGCTAGGTTTGTACAAGATGGAGGAAGTAAAAGCCGTGACGGACATTTTAGAAGATGCTTTGTCAAAAATAAAAAATGTTACTGGTTCGACTCAAAGTCCGCAAAATCAAACGAATTCTACTAGTTCTACTGCCAGTTCTACTCGTCAAACTAGTTCCACTGGCGAAACGCATACTCATTCCACATTACTGGCAAGAGCACAATCAAACTTCAGGCAAGTAATAAATTATTCATGATATATTTTATTATTTATTTGCGTATATTGAGATTTTAGTGTTTATGCATAAGCTTGTTTGTTTTCATTATTTTAAAATATCGCCGTTTTCCTTTCAAATGTCAGCATCATGCATTAACTTGCTGTATGGGGTTGGGGACCTGGGGTTATACTATGCCTATGGGGTTAGCTTTTATCACAAAAGTTGGAGCCCCAAAACTATTTTAGTACTATTTTGACCACTATTATTTATTTTCATATAATATCTAATTTGTTATTAGCAATTAAATTATTGCTGAACTATCACCAAAACTTTGCCTCAGCCCCCTGCCCCCAATGGTATGCTTCTGCCCCCCTCCAAGAATTTGTAAACTAGTGATAATCTGTAAAGTTTGAGAGGAAAATAATACCTAATAATTGCCCCTGGGTAATCAGCCCCCCCCCCCCAATACAAAATTGCTTCATATGATAGTGTCAGCATACAGTAACTTTGCCTCATATGGGCTGCATGTGCACTGCATGCACCCCAGCATGCACAGTGTAATAATAATAATAATATCTCGATTACGGCATTAATTGCTACGATTTAACGAATTACTTTGGAAAAAACGTTTGGTTGAAGGTAGAAAAATGATGTTACAATGCTGATTTTGACAACAGATTTTTTAGTTTATTTAGAACTTCTGCATCTCATGATCATTGATAAACAGCACAACAAAATAATTGGTTATTGATACACAGTGTATTAGCTAGAGATGTTACCCTTAAAAAGTACTCCTCTCTCTAAATTATGTTCACTTTTAACAAACGTTTTTTAGTTTCACAAACATAATATATATTCACTTATTTAAACATTGATATTATATTCCTTGCTGACATAATGTGAGAATGATCCCCAAGTTTTCTCAGTTCTTTTTCATTCTCATCCCTTGTCCTTTATCTTCTTTTCCTTTTGCCCCCTCATTTTCCTTTTGCCCTTTCCTTTCTTTTCCGCTTTGTTCTCTTCTTTTCTCTCTTTCTTTTCTTTCCCTTCCCTTCCTTTGTTTTTAATCTTCTTTGAATTTCTTCCCTGGGCCTAAGACCCTTTGATTCCTCCCCACCCCCAGGAATTATAGAAGAATATACACCCCTGGCATAATTTGTTTTGGTCACAGTTCTTATAAAATAGAAACGTACAAGGTGTCTATGTGAACTTGAAAGATGTTATTTGCACTTCACAAACCTAGAAATAACACCTTTCAAGTTCACCTTATTAGAACCCGCACACCCGAAAATCTTTATCTACACACAAACTTTCAGTAATTACAGCTTGGCAACTGCAAGGCCTCTGTCGCTCAGTTGGTTAGAGCACTGCACTGGAGTCACAGGGCTGCAGGTTCGATTTCTGTCAATAGAAGGTGTCCATATACCTGGTCCATAAGCTGGGGGCTTAAAGTGGCATGATCAACCACAATGCAATGCACGCTTTTGTTTACGTTTTTCAGTTACTTTCCTCAATAGTTGCTGCCATTCTCAAGGCCATGAGAATGGCTGTACAAACGCACACATTGCATTGTGGTTGATCATGCCCCTTTAATATATCTTATGCGCTTTCCCTTTTGTGCACAAGGGGTAAGCTGGGAGAACACAAGTTACAAGAAAAGTGCATAAAACATGAGACAATGTTTTACGTGCTTTTCCTGTGTTCTACCAACTTCCCCTCATCTATAATAACACTAGAAAAACATGAAATAAGTATTTATATTTTGTTTACAATATAGGAAGATACAATACAGTAAACAGTTTTATGCATAAACAAATTGATACTTCAAGGATCAATTTCAAAATTCTGCTAACATGTGTCATGTGGGGAACGGCAGTTTCGGTCCCGTTCAGTACGATCCCATAAGATCACAAATTCACTCACACTTTAGAAATTATATTTCACAAAAAATTTAGCTCTCCCTTTTAAATTGTGATCAAAATGCTTATCTTCACTGGAAATGAAATTTGAGCTTAGATGCTAAGTAGTCCAGAACAGTACCGGGAGACCACCAAGAATCAGTGGGTATAGTGTTGAGGAAATATATATTTTTAATATTTCATACAATTCCTCAAATTGAAAGTGTCCCATCATGCAAATTCATGTGAGCATGCATTCCTTATGTTGTTAATCAACTTTTGGGTGAATTAACCAGAGTGGAAGCACTCGTCCCCTGACGAGTAAAATCATTTTGTGTTAGTCAGAGTAAAATAATAAAGTAGGGCTGATCAGGGCACATTGCCACTTAAAGGGTAAACAGGATGCATTGGTAGATAGTGTGATGAACCCATTGGGTGGCAGCACTCTCCCCATTGACAAGTAAAATTTTCTGACGTTAGACAGGAAGATTGTAATAAAGTAGGGCTCATCAGGACACATAATCGTCACAAAGACTAAAAACTTGTTTTTTATTGAAAATTTCGAGGTAAATTTTGAGAAATGTTTCCATCAATGGTAGTACTACAAGTATTTTTCCCATACACATGCAGATTGCAGACAGAACAAATTTCTCCAGTAAGGAGAAGCAACCCATTAAACCAGATAACGACTGGGTTCGTGAGGTACATTGGGTAAAATTGTCAAGCAAATTAATGAATTTTCAAACTATTTTCATTAGGTCATCCTTTCCTCAGTTCTACAGCACCGTGCATTCGAGTCAACGCGAGACACGGCCTCGGAAAAAGCAACGAAGTTCTCCCTTTGCTGCATGGGTGAAAGACACCTGGACACATGATTTTGTTTTATTATCATCCACAACAGCGGGCAGAACACCAACTCCACAGATAATGCAACAATTACAAAGTGCTGGCTTGGGTAGAAAGAAAATTGTGTTTAAAGATAAGCAGGGTGGATTTGACCATTTGAGAGAAACACTGGAGAAGGAGTTTCCAAAGTTAGAAACACAAAAAGGTGCTTTTGAGTTACTAAGAGCAGACAGAGGAGGTTATTCTCGACCACTGTTGAGCATCCCAATGTCCAACTTAGGATACACCATCAAACATCTTAAGGAAGCCGTATCTGGAAGTGCTGCAATTTATGTGAGACCAATTCAGAGCGACCTTGACATGACCCCGATCTCAAGTGCTGGCAGTCAAGACGGTGAAACAGTGTACACTCAGTGTGTTTGCTGTCAAGAGCATGTTCCACTCTTGGAAATGAAAAGTCATGCAAGTACTTGTAAAAGTAAAGAAATAAATAGTGAGTCTGTTACGTCTAGTATTTCTGTTGGCACTATTACTACCAATGCTAATAATTTACCTGGGTCTGAGATAGAAACTATTGTGGTCGACGAAAACAATAGTGATAAAGACTTAACACTGATGGAAGATGACAGTAATATGTACAGTAATATTTTTCCCACAAGTGATGTGAAAGCAAACTGGACTGAACAATTACAAGAAATGTTTCCTGATGTGCTAAAGACAAACATTGAGTCGTCTGTGAACGTTTCTGTATCACTCGAAGAAGCTGCTGAAATCGTCTGTGATGGAATCAATGATCTGGACAAACCGAAGGAGAAAGATGATGATCTCTCGGACTTACTTGCTGGACTAGCAGCAAAAATTCAGGACAGTGACTACATGTTAACAGTTGAAAGAGATGAAGTGTGGAGTGCTGCTCTTACATTTTACAAAAAAGCTTTACTTGACAAGACCAAATTATGGCAAGACCTGACAATTATTTTTAAAGGAGAAGAAGGCCTTGATGCCGGAGCCATAAGAACAGAATTCTTTGAAATCTTGTTGAGGGAAATTAATTTTCGTCTTTTTGAAGGTCAAGAACTATCACAACTTCCAGTGAGAGATAGCAATAAGGCAATGCTTTTGAAACTGGCAGCAGTTGCAATTTCCCACTCAATTATTCAGCGTGGTCCCGCATTTAGTTGTTTGTCACCTGCTATATACTCCTACATTGCGGGTTGTGATGCAGATGTTGTTGCATCTCATATACACAAAGACGAAGTTCCAAGAAATGCAGGTAGATAGTGTTAATAATAATGTATTTCCTATTTAACAGTAAATATATTAAACATTACATTACACATCAATTTTTAGCAATTAATATTCTTTCGGATACTGTTTCGTCAGATACTGCATGTTTTTATTTTGTTTGGGGTGGCTGTCACCGCATTTATTTTAATGAAATCAAGGATCCATGATTTAACCAGTTGAGGGGCAGCACTCTTCACATGATGAGTAAAATCGTCTGGCATTGGTAAAATTTGGACGTTGTAAATTTCTGACGGCCTGATACGAAAACTCATTCTAGTAATCTAGACTAATGGAATTTTCACCTTTTACTTTACTCTGAAAAACATCTATTCTTATGTGATCAGACGTACGTTTTTAAGCATTTCAAATTATTGTTTTTTTTTGTCTATGGAAACCACAGTAAATTTAACCACGAGTGTTTATCAATTTAATTCTCAGAAACTGTGACGTGATAAAACGAACAAATATTATTGTAATGATAAAAGAGTGAGACAATTTCTCAGGTGTACAAGACAAGTGTTATGTGTTTGCAATGGAGCAAGTATTACCGAAATCAGTAGAATGTCTTTTCCGGAAGTTGAAAAGGCAGTCAGAATGGCGTAGAAACGTTCATGTTTTATGACGTCACGGTGAAGGAATGCAGCGTGGAACTTGTATGTTATTATACTTATTTAGTAACTTTATTTAGTTACAAGCTCAAAACAAGCTTTCTAGCAAAGGGAGAACCTTTGTTCGTGGGAAGGCACTGAGGGGGGGAATGCAAACTAAATAAACTTCCTAATAAGTAAAATAACGTACAAGATTCACGCTGCATTCTTTCACCGTGACGTCATAAAACATGAACGTTTCTACGCCATTCTGACTGTCTTTTCAACTTCCGGAAATGACACTCTACTAATTTTGGTAATAATTAGTTTTAATTTCATTTCATGTATATCCAAAAGTAACTGAGTTCGATTGAATTTTTTATGCACAGGTTTTTAATTTTTCACTTCACCTTTTTAAAATTATTCACCAGTAAAATGTTCTATCAATAAACTTTTTGATATAGATTTAGACAAATACGATAGCGATAATAAATTTAGCCATAATAAATTTCCTATTGCCGCTGTCATATTTGTCAAAATAAAATTTTCTAGTATTTTAAAATCTACAGTTTTTAACGTCTTTCGAAATTTTATTTACATATTCTATTTTAAATGTGTTTTGTTCAAATAAACCATTTTTTTGTTTCTTTTTTATTTCATAGGCACAGCTAACCTGTACAATTTTTTGGAGATGATCGATGACACGTCCAGCATTCACAATGTTTTAGAAGGTCATGCCTTGTGTGATGCATACTGGGCCTTGATTAATGCATCACACTGGCCTATCGAGAAGAAAATAGATGACCAAAATGTAGGTATGCTTGTTCAACATTTGCTGGAAAATGAAATAATTTACTCCAGGAAGTTAGAAATAGATAGCTTTGCCGAAGGGTTGGATGTTATGGGCCTACGCAAGATTATAAGAGAGAACCCAACGTCCTGTCGTGATTTGTTTTGTTATAACACAGAAATGATCTTGACTGCCGAGAAGTTCATATCACAAGTGCTTTTAAAAGAACCAACCGACTACTCAGAGAAACAAAGTTATGATTGGTTTTTAAAATATGTTAATTCATCAAGTGAGGAGAAGTTGAAATGTTTGCTCCAGTTTGTAACCGGGCACAGGTCGATACCACCAAGAGGCTTGTCGCACCTAATTTGTATTAAATTCCTACCCGATGATGAAAAAGCTTCCCTCCCTAAATCAATTGCATGTCTTGGCATTATCCATCTACCAACGGTGTATTCAAGTGAGAAGAAGTTCGTGCAGAGTTTAGATATAGCCCTAAAATGGGAGTGTGAAGGATTTGGATCGTCATAACTAGGACCAGTTGAGCGGCATATATCTTATAAATATAACAAACATAAGGTGGTATAGTTAACATTCTTTGAACAAAATAGTTACAGTATTGTACTCTTCCCATTTTGTTATTGTTTCTGTTTGGCTGACCATTGTTCTTGGACACTTTGTTTATAAATTTCCAAACAATGTATTCCAAAAGGTAGGCTGCAATACTGGTCAATATATCTCAGCAAACCACAGAGGAACAGAAATAAACTCGAATTTCCAATTCCTCCCTCGCCTAATTTCAATGTTATTTGACCGCCATTTAGCAGGTACGGGCCCGAGGGTAATCAAAGGCATTTGCCCACTATGTTATATGTCAAAAATCTGCATTGACATTGAAACCATGCGTACCACCTGTTTTTGACCAGTATTGTAGTTATCTGAGGTGAGTTGGTTACTTCCTACACGTAGACACTGACGTTGCAATTACCTAACGTGAACTTGAAATACTAATAGTAAACGTAATTGTTGTTATCAAATAAAGAATTTGAAACTAAAAGCTAAGCCTTGATAATGAATGTATCATTTTTATCTATCGTCAAAAATATTAATTAAATGCGTGAGGACCTGCAAATAGATATCAATTCCAAAATATTGGCTGCTTGCTAGTGGGTCAAATTGTGCTAGGTGACTGTCTACTTCATCTGGAGGAATGGGAAGATAGATGTCAGGGACTTCTATAACATCTGGGAAAGATGCATCTTCACTCCATGCAGGATTTGGTGATAGGCCATCGTCGTCAATTCCATAATCGTTTATTTCAACCTACAGAAAACGTATTACACATAATTTTCCCTGCACTTTCAACTGTATTTGTTCCCTGGGTCGGGCATTTGCTTTCTGCAGGTTAGCCCCAGGGTGGGGAATTTGCTCGAGCTTAAAAAGTTGAATATTTGTCGCTTGTTTCGCCATTTAGCCGTATTAATGGCTTCAGAATCGATTTTAAATAACAGGTATATTGACACGAGATACAGTATAGCCTGCATTCGATTTTTTGGTTCTGGAATCCTCAGGAAATTTTGTCGCCTAGGGTGGGACACTTGCGTCAATATAAGTCCCCAAGGGTGGATATTTTGTTGTATTATTTGGACCCCATGGCCATGGTGGGGCCATTTGCAAATTTTTTTCGCCAAAATGACAAATGCCCGATAAACGGGGGTGGGTGGGATGGGAACCCATGGAATTGATTGATACATTATGATACAAAGTTTTCTACTTAATAGTTCTAAAATAGTTCGACCAAACGATGAAAACAAAACAGGCATGAACACACAATGTTTCGGTGTTCGGCGCCATAGACATTTTAGTAAGCCCTAAGTTTCAGTCGCCAGATTATCGTGCTGAATTTGAACCATTGGTCGCAAAGACAAAGTAAACATTTTGAGAGTTACACGTGCACCAATATATCAATTGCTCTTTGCCAGTGATGTTCAGCACTTGGATACTTTGAACTAAAGCACGATTTACTTAACTTATATGGATACCTTACATCGTTAAGTTCCATGTCAATGAGTTGATTCCTCAGGCCCCAAACCCACAGCTGAGCAGGTGACATGTTGCCTTCAGTTGAAAGAGGATGATGATTCCAACCTTCTGCAAATGTCTTTAAACTATTGTTGATCCTTTTCGTGAATACATATCTTAATGCATAGAGATGCAGATCATTCCCGATGTCTAATATTCCTTCATTTTCCATGTGGTGAAAGAGACTGTGGAATATATGTGTACAACCGCTAAATACATCCCTCCAAAGTCTTTCAATGCGTTGGTTATGGCAGCTCCTGCCAGAAATGAAGCTCCCCCTATCAGGGCCACGCATGGGATGAGTAAACATATGCCAAGCGACATCCACATTTTCCACACCTTTATCTCCACGCACTCTAGAAGGCAATCCAAAAACATCCACAGCATCAAGGAACAGTTGTAGAACTGTTTGAGCTTTATTATTGCAACTACAGTGCAGAAAGGTGATCTGGCGAGAATAACCATCAATGCATCCGTGAATGACAAAACCCCATCTAGAGTAGTAGAAAGTAAAATGAAATATAAAATAATACTAAATGCAAGCTGCATTCAATTTCCATCTCAAATTTGGGTGTAATACAAGCAATTAATCATCTAACAAAGTAAACAAATCAATATTCAAGTACAAGTGGTTCATATATACACCTTTAGGTATTGTATATCCACCCACATTTGCCTTATTTGGTAATATCAATTTAATTAAATGATATTTAAACCGTGTTACTATAAGAAAGTGTCCAATGGCAATAATCCTATATCTGGCAAGGGAACATACAAAAAATGGCACATTAATTGAATTCTAACCTTATTAGTTTGTGATTGCCATCTATATGCCAAAGTGATAATGGTGATCTTACATTATAGATTCTTCTTTTAAGAACACTGAATTGTAAACACCGCATTAGTATGCCCTCTGGACACACACGCTTCATACTATCTTCTATCCGGCGCCATTGAATGTGTAAACCTCTTGCTGTTAAAAAACCACGCATTCTTCGATATCCACAGTTTGGAAATACTTTTAAAATGTCTGATCTGAAAACATTATAAATAATAGAGTAACATTAATTAATATATACAATATTAAAAGTGAAAAAAAAATTATAATAATAATAACAATAAAAAATTCATTGCATGATCAATTATCGTTGAAACCTGAAACTAATGGACAAACCACCTGGACAATTACTTTGTACACAGTTACTTGAGTACTAGTACTTTAGTTATTGTGGCTTTTCATATTCTGCATTTTCTTCAGTGTTATGCTATACCTGAAGTACTGTTTAATAAACGAGCAGGAGTGTTTTATTAGGTTTAAAGACACGAGCGCCCAGCGCGAGTGGCTTTACTTTAGACCTAATACCATAAAAGTGGCTTTACTTTAGACCTTTACTTCAAACACGACTATACAAATTCAATAGATATACCGCCTTATTAGTATTCTTTATATAAAAAATACTAATGTGGACACGACAACAATAGATACTGCCTTATTAGTATTTTTTGTATAGAGAATACTAATTAGGAGTGTTTTATCAAGCCACTGCATGTGACATGTTATAGTTTACATGATTTGCCAATAAGCTTATGAATTATTAATGAGTGTTTGAAGTATAGGTAAGCGACCATTCATTATTTATGACCGGGGGTGGGCTGGCAAAAAAGGGGGTTGGTCATGAGGTATTTTTGACCGAAAAAGGCACCTAAAAGTATTGGTTCAGAAGGGGGGGAGGGGGCAGTTATTTTATTATAGTGGGAAAACATTTGACATGTAAAGATTACAGAAAAATTGCACTGTGATTACAGAAAATTGCACTGCTGTTTGGGATTAACTGCACTGAAATCAACCAATCACAGTCAAGTAATATCCTTATGTATATTGTAAAGAATTTCTTACATCTGTTCATCCAGTTGTTCATCTGATAGCATAGTGTAATTGCAAGACTTCAGGCCAAATTCAACAACTCGTCTTTGTATGGTTTTGCTAGCTACACCAAATATTTCTCCAATCTTTTTGAACGTGAACCTGTAATCCAAATACAACTGAAGAAGTTCTTTCGGAATGTATACTGATGGTCTTCCACGACAACCACTATGAATAAAAATTTATGTCTGTTCATTTTCTCCTCCTACAGATTTTAACTTCTCCTGTGCTATTCTTAAAGAGTTTGCAATATCATTGGGAATGTTGTACAAAGCAGAAGCTCTTTCCACAAGATTTTCAATTCTAGCTAACTGAACACAGATGTAATCGATGCCATCCACATCTTCATGAATCCTCTCATTTAACTTGTTTTTAACATTCTCAATGCTGAAGTATAAACATTCTTTAAGTTCAGCAACTGGATCTGGAGCAGTTTGTTCATTATTTGGTAAACCTTCAGACATTATCCTCTAACCATGTCCCATGCCATTTTCAAGAACTTAGTTTCCTGGATTTGTAACATGTAAATAGTTATTTAGATACAGTCATGCACATTAATTGTACTATAATTGTAAAATTATTTGGCTAATTATTAATTTTGTGACAAAGTCCAAAGCAAAATTATGAAACAATTGCAAATGGGTTAATTGGGTTAGACAGAGTCAATATTTTGTGTACATGTAAATAAGAACAGCCCAATTTTTTGGGCCCTGGTGCTTAATTAAATAAGGTGATACCCTGAGCTTCCTGACACAGGAAAAATAGATTTCCATTGATGGATTTTTGAATTTAAAAACTGAATTCTTACCATTATTGGTTATTATAGATTTCCCATATGGTAAATTAGATACACTATGATGTTTATCAAAGTTTTTACCAATGATGGTACTGATGTATACAATCATGGTAAATCATTAACCCATTGAGTGGCAACACTCTCCACTTGATGAGTAAAATTGTCTGGCATTAGACAAAGTAAAATACTAAAGTAGGGCATATCAGGTGCATTGCCACTTGTTTGTTTGGTTAACCCATTGAGTGGCAGCACTATCCATTGATGAGTAAAATTGTCTGTCGTTAGACAGAGTAAAATACTACAGTAGGGCGCATTCCCACTTAAAGGGTTAAAAACCATTAGTGAAATTTAAAATATTTCCTGTGTGAGCTCATACAAATGCCATACACGGGTTAGCTAGAATACTCGGCCGCCTTTTTATCGCCTTCAACAGAATAATCATGATGGAACTATCACAAGACTACAATATGTATACACATAAAGTTAAAGTATACAGGGCTGACCTTTCGTCCTTTCTGAAGGCGATTGTAATGAAATTAACATATTTTCTGATGTATTTGTCCAAATGATTTTCCCACAATTTGACCATTTCATACACCCATATGCCATGGCACATATGATCAATATGTGCGAATTACTTAACGAAAACTGACGCCATACCATACATTCTATTAAATATGTATTGCATCTTTTATTTAGCGTTTTATTAATATATACCAGACAAGATACGAATAATTTGCAATGTATAAAACGAGTTATAAATATATTATAAGAAATCAGTTTTACTTGTATAATTACAAACACAAAAATCAAAATAGTACCAAACTTACCTTGTTAAAATATTAAATCCATAATTTTCAAAAATTATCCATAATTTTCAAACTAAAACTAGTATTCTTGTATACGAGCTTGCATAAAACATGTATTTAATACAAGTACAAAGTCAATAAACAATGCAACATTTGGTCACGTGTTTATTTTTGGCGGGAAAAGGTCACGCCGCGACGAAGAGACGAAACGAAGAGACGAAACGCCGCGACGAAGTGACGCAACGAAGAGATGCACGCACCGGAAACCGGGTACACGCCGCGACGAAGAGATCGAAAATATACGCCTCGACGAAGTGAGACATCGAAATGAGACATGCAAGGACGAACTAGGTAGACGCCTCGACGAAATGAGACATCGAAGTGAGACAAGTAACGACGCCTCGACGAAGTGAGACATCGAAATGAGACATGCAAGGACGAACTAGGTAGACGCCTCGACGAAATGAGACATCGAAGTGAGACATGTAACGACGCCTCGACGAAGTGAGACATCGAAATGAGACATGCAACGACGAATTAGGTAGACGCCTCGACGAAATGAGACATCGAAGTGAGACATGTAACGACGAATTAGTTAGACGCCGCGACGAAGTGGAGAAACGACAAGCTGACACGTCCAAATGAACGACAAAACGACGGTTGACATGACGAAATGAACATTTTGTCCACGAACTGACGCCATAAGGATTGGCATATTTAACATACTGTATGAAGCCACACAGGCGAGACAACATCAAATGCCGAATATATTTCGCTGAAATTTGAACTTTTGACGGATGTTTATCTGTATAAGACAACAGAACTCGAAAGACAGAAAATTTTATATAATACTGTGGCTTAGAAAGCGAAATATTAGCTTCAAAGTGAACTAATTTGCTGTTTGAGCAACCACTTCTGAATGTACATGAACTGTAAACACAACACCAACCCGAGAAACTTGTATTAAATTAAAATTGCGCCGTCATGATTTTTCCAATTCGCCCAAACTTTTAAACGTTTATACTCTAACTTGGCTATGCTTTTCTACATGACAATGAGAGCTTAATTTTTTAAAAGCTTTCGTCCAAGTCATGCCATAGAGGAAGTATCAAGAGCAACATTTGGACATATCCTGATATACTCGAGTTTCCCGATTGATTGTTTGTCATTGACATTGTTAACAAAAATTTAAATTTCGCCTACTGCATTGCTTTAGCACTTTATATACACTAATTGTTTGCTGAACATGCGCGAACATGATCACAATATTATTCTACGTAAATGTTTTCAAAGCTTTACTATTTGCTCTTAAGAAAGATCCAGACAGGGTTATTCTTTCAACGGACAAAGGCAATTGTGTTGTTGTTATGGACAAAGATGATTATTGCTTACTATATACTTCAATCGCACTGCTGCCATTTATCCCAATCAGCATTTAATTTTTCTTCTTCATTTTTTTTTTTGGGGGGGGGGACGATGGGTTGTAAATTTCCCTAGGTGGGGTGGGAAATCCCTCCACGATACGATGTACATATCCAAAAGTGCTATAGTGCCATGAACATCATGAAAGTGCTTCAGTATAACCCCTATGCAATGCGCCTTACTTATTACTTTTTACTTGTCTAACGCCAGACGATTTTACTCGTCAATGGGGAAACTCTGCAGCTTAATCGGTTAACCAAATAATCTGACAATGTCTCCATACTTAAACAACAATACACAAATATAATACTCTAGTTGAAAATGATTTATAATACTTCAATTTATATAAATCACGATATAGGTATCTCTATACCTGTATTGTGTATAATGTTAAATTATTTTGTCTCTGATGAACGTTTCAAGGACTTTCTTAATTAATTAATTAATTAATTAAACTTTCTTCTTGACCTGTTTCTCCTTAATTTATTTTATCCCCGAGCCAACAGCGCGGAGGGCCGTTCCGGGTGTAAGCCCGGGGCGATAGTACTAATTCCGCCCGACAATTTACACCCGCATTCTCGTACCCAGAGCCCTTCTTACGCACGGTGCAACGAGGGGCTCTGACCAAATCCATATCCGAACTGGCATCTGATTGGCTAGTTCTAACACAGGATATTGTTTTCTTACCATGTTTTCATGGTATCCGGTTATGGATTTGGCCAGACCCACGCGTCCAGCTGCGCGTAAGAAGGGCTCTGGGTACGAGAATGCTACACGATGGGATAGGAAAGCACTAGCGCAGTCCAGTGAACTCTAATAAGACTTGATAGTGCCTATATCACTGGTGGGACCTTTATGGATTTAAAAAGAGCGTAAAAAGCTGGTTAATATGTTCAAAATATTTTTTGATTTAGTGCAATAATTTCGAAGATACAGGCCTCTAAACTACCTACAGTTCCTGAGTCCCAGGCTCCTGGATCTAAACACGGCTATTGAATTTGACCTTTTTCGAAACTGTCCTTTGTCAATTGGAGCCTGTGACTCAAGGAACTGTAGGTAGTTTAGAGGCTTGTATCTTCGAAATTATTGCACTATGTAAATCAAAAAATCTTTTGAACTTATTAACTAACTTTTTACGCTCTGTTCGAATCCATATAGGTCGCACGTACAAGTTATATAGGCACTTAACGATAACTTCAGGTAAACATGCATACCCATACTTGCCTGAAGCCAAGATGAAGCAAACCGCGCGAGGAAATTGCACTTTTAGAAGGACTAAGGAGAGTATCGAGGAGTAGGAAATTCAGTTAAAGTTTATTTTCGACGAAAATGAGCAAGAAAAGTCGTTTTTCATCAAAAGACATCAATTTTAAAACCCCAAATATGATTTATTTGATAGTTCGTTAGAACTGCTTTGCATCTCACAACAACGAAAGTTTGAAGGGTATCATGTTTGTTTTCATAAAAAACGTCGTTAGTTGAACGTGCCGAAGTGAACTTTTTAGCCGGAATACAAAAATTTGGTCTATCTAATTTAACATAACATGAGAAAATCGACAAATTGTGCATACAAAATTATTGCTCGTTCACTAATAAAATAAATGGCAGCCATGGCAGGCATGCACGCGCTCGCCCAAATATGATTTTGCACCCCTGGCAGTATGGCGGAATTAAGCTTGAAAGCGCCTATTATATTGTAAATATTCTTAATGAAATTATCGTTTTACCATGACAACTACTTTAAATACTTCATAATCGAAAAATACAATGGTTTTTCAGCAAGACAAAGGTTTTTCAGCATGACGAAGGTTTCTGCATGCATGTATTTTCTAGTTTGAGTGATGATTATGTAATGTTTATTGGACAGTAAGGATTTACATAGTCCAACGCAAGCTCGAGCCTGACAGTTACGCCTTCGTTAATTAGAATCTTTATTTAAATTAATTCAGTTTGGTGCTGGGTCGCAAAATATTTATAGGCTATTGTGGCCTTCGAATAAACTATATATGCTGGTATTTCATATTTTTGGAGGACACCATTCATTAGTATCATAACGTTGTTTTCCTCACTTAATTACTCGGATGCAACCAGCATGCATGCAAATTGTTAGCCATTGAAAATGTAATATATTCCGGAAGAAATTTCTATCCAGAAGAAAAAACGGAGAAATTAGCGTGACCTTGTTTTTCAATTGATAAATCACAGGGTCCGCATGAACAATATCGAAAATGCTTACGGTGTTCTTTCAGTCTTTGCTACAAAAACATTCAGACCACAAATAGACCCTGTTTGTATATTAATCAAATGAGGTCTTCTTATAGCTTTGATAATAACAAGTGAACCTAAGCAAAAGCGATACCTTTGGGCAATCTCTTGTGTGGATTCAAAAAGGCGTCGAGTCAGAGTATGAATATATAGAGTTCCAGTTCGTATATTTGATAGAGAATAAATGAGTTATATAGGGCTCTCGTACTCTGGTTTTTGTTCTTCGGGTAGTGCCAAAAATCTGGAGGATAATATTATTTGTAGCCCACGAATATCAGTGGTATTCTTTCAATAAGTAGGAATAGTCAAGATAGAATTATTGAAAACATCATATTTGATGGACTTGTCATTACCAAATTATTTATATTGTGTTACCACTGTTGGTTTCCTGGTCGAACGGAACGCTTTAAATCAACCAAGAGAGAGATAGAGAGAGATACGTTTATAGATAGATTTACAGTGACCTAAAATACGACTGGACTGTGCAACTGTTCAATATATACATAGAATAATTTCGATTATTTCCTCATAATACAGTATCTGATGAAATATGAGATTTTATGCGATATGAGATATCATGAAATTTGAAGTGACTCCGGCGTGCTTGAAGCACTGAGTGTTTGAGATGACAAATATTAGATACGCAATTGATAGTCCCTGCGGATATTATTTTCATTAACTGCTACAATAATACGAAATAATTTGAAAGCTAATTATTACAACTTCAGCATTATCTAGTACTTACCTACCAAAACCGTTCTAATATATTAGTGAACCAGTAATGCATGGGGGTTAGGGAGTTAGGGGGTTTTGTAGAATGAACACAAAGTGAATGATATTTTGCCGTTATACGCGTGTCATACTTCATCTACGTTTCCAGGTTTTAACATGGTTTTATTAATACACGAAATTTTGAAAATATCATAAAATACGTGTAACATATATTAGTTATATTTGCAGTTTTCCAGTGGGGGTTAACATGCTCGTGAGTGCAAGTTGTAAAACTTGGACCGTCATTGCGAATGCCTATATTTAGAGGAATTTTCTTCACTGAAATTGAGTCCAATTTTTAATCCAATTTGGATCCAATTATGAGTAGATTTGAATGCAAGTTTGAGCGCTGCACAAACTCCATTGCATGTTCTGTACTACTGTATTTTGGCCTACGAATATGAAGACGTATTATAACCGATTGTTTTAATCACTTAATCGGATAGGAACAACATGCAAATTTTTAACCACAGACAATGTGATTGGGAACTGGTATAGAGGAATCCAGTAACACTGGAACAAAAAAGAGATGAACAGAGAGAACAGTTTAGAACTGATAAACCTATCTGCAATAGGAAACTTGTCGTGCAATCGAATTTATAAGTACAGTCAGTTTACAATAGCATATACGAAAGATAATTCAGGCTCTTGCTGTACTTCTAGGGAGAACAGTTTATAAAACTGGTATAGAGCTGTTCAGTATTTAGCCTAGATTATAATTTAAGTTTCCTCCTGTATAGGAATAACGGTTCAAAAAGGAATTAATACTAATTTACTCGACCTCCGGGGTGAACAGTTTAGAACTGATATAGAGTTATAAATGCATTATACGAAGGCTATCAATTTAACTTACTGCAAATTAATATATTGGTCAATGGAATGTTAAGTGCCATACTCAAATGAACAAGCATAATAATGTGACATCAAGTGCATTACACTAGAAATACGCGCTTCGCAAGTGCTGCCGCGCACGTTTCGAAACTTAAAAGAGGGTCACTTTATAGGCCTAGTATATAGCTACTCAAGAAATTAAATATTGACATTCTTAATAATGACGCCCTTCAATACCCTTAATTAAAGCACGAGACAATTCCAGTGATGTGTTATATTGCTTTGAAGAATATTTTACGACTCATAATATATAAGGGTCATTGCTTATAAATACAAACACAATAGAAGGCAAAGTCAATTCAGAATTCATCAGTTTCTGACAAGAGACAAATCGATTGTGACAATACATGCATCATGGCATTTTGCTGCTTGGGTAATGTTCTTGGACTGGTGCTCATTCTTTTCGCAATCAGTGAGGTACGTTTTGATATTTCAAAAATGGGGTCCTATCTGTACGTGTTAGATGTGCTGCCGTGGTGTCCGAACTACCTGAAAAAGATATCTCAAACATGGTGATTCAGTTTATGTAGTATTCTGCAATGAATAAGCTGCCGTGGTTGGTGTCCGAACTATAGCTCAAAAAATGTATCTCAAACAGTCAAACGCGGTGTTTCAGTTTAGGTAGTATGCCGTACTTAGTGTCCGAACTAGCTCAAAAATATATCTCAAACATAGTGATTCAATGTAGCCTAGGTATAGTTTGTATTCTCAAATACGCTGCAGTGGTTTGTGTCTGAACTATATACCTGAAGAGTAGCCTATATCTCAAACGTGGTGGTCCAGTGTATATAGTATCCTACAATAATTAGAAGCTGCCATGGTTTGTCTGAACTACCTGAAAAGTATATCTCAAACGGGGTATAGGGACTGAAGTAATCCACAATAAGCTGCCGTGGTTGGTATCCGAACTAGCTCAAACATATATCTCAAACATGGTGATTCAATGTAGTCTAGGAAGTTTGTATTCTACAATAAGCTGCCGTGGTTTGTGTCTGAATTACCAAAAAGGTATATCTAAAATATGGTGATTCAATGTAGGTAATATTCTACAATAAGCTGCCATGGTTTGTGTCTGAAATATATACCTGAAAAGTAGCCTCTCTCTCAAACGTGGTGGTCCACTGTAGGTAGTATTTTACAAAAGGTGCCATGGTTTGTCTGAACTACCTGAAAAGTATGTCTCAAACGTGTGGTGCAGTGTATAGGTACTGTAATATTCTACAATAACTGCCATGCCGTCGTTTGTGTCTGAACTACCTTAAAAGTATATATCTAACGTGGTGGTCCAGTGTAGGTAGAATTCTACAATAAAGGACCGTGGTTTGTGTCTGAACTACCTGAAAAAGATATCTCAAACGTGGTGGTCCAGCGTAGGTAGTATTCTACAATAAGCTGTCGTTGTTGGTGTCTGAACTACCTGAAGAAGATATCTCAAACGTGGTGGTCGATGTAGGTATAGTATTCTACACTCAACAAGCTGTCGTGGTTTGTGTCTGAACTATAATGACCTATACGTTTTACTGATAAATTGCTGCCGACGTTAGTTCACAAACTTCCAGATGGCGAATTAAGGGTCTTCGCTCGAGAAGTCGACTTTCAGCTTATATTTCTCAGGTAGTTGTATCTTCTTCACAGCTGCATGTTATCGCCTCTACTTACACTGGCGCCGACCGTTATTTATATTACAGTCCGAAGCAGAATGAGGACTTGCTCTGTCGACTTGGACATTCCCATTTCTAACAAAACGTTTATTTCAGGAGTGCGTTCAAGATCATTCTTCTTGTGTCCCTACAGACCAGCCTCCACCAGGACCATGTTCTCCAATATGTTCTACTGGAGGTCCAGGGATTTGTGATGATTCCGGCAATCTCCCACCGACCTGCCATCCCGATAACCAAGGTGGAACGATAAAAAATTAATGATGGTGCGCCTTGGCATGCTCATGTAAAAAAAAATAAAATGGAGCCATTAAAGACATTGCAAATGGACGTGTCATGATTTTAATTTAATTGTACTTTATATATTTTGGATTGTTTTGTTATCTTTTATTGCACAGAATTATTTTATTGCAGCTTGAGTTATTTTATTGTAATGTTTTTAGGGTGTAGTGGGAGTGGAGGGGGGGCACGAGCCCTCCCCCTTGAAGAG